CCGCAGGTTATTCTCCCGCCTTCACATGTGCTGGTATGACCTAGTTTGCTTTCTGTTGCTGTAATAAAACACCATGATCAAGACAACTTAGAGAAAGAGTTTATTTGAGGTCCAGAGGGTTAGAGTCCATAATGGTGGGGGAGACATGGCAGCAGAGGTGGCTGGAGCAGAAAGCCAAGCGATCATATCGCCAAGCATACACAGGAAGCAGAGAGGGACTGGAAATCTGTCATGGTTTAAGAACTCTAAAAGCCCCACCCCCACCCAGGGAAATGCTTCCTCCAGTAAGGCTGCACCTCCTAAAGCCTCCCAAAACAGCACCACCAACTGGGGACAGAATGTCCAAATACTTGGGACCTATGAGGGACACTAATTCAACAACCACACACATAAACACAAATGTGATAAGCCTTGTAAGGTTTAGTGGCACAGAAGAGGCCCTTCTGCCTTATCCAATTACTGTATTAGTTACTTTTCTGTTTCTGTGATTGAAACACCATGGCCAAGGGAACTTACAAAAGGAAGAGTTAAGCTTATTCTTCCAAAGGGGCAAGAGTCCATCATGGCGGAGAGGCACAGTGTCAGAGGTGGCTAGAGTAGGAGCAGAAGCTAAGCTCACATCTTCAAAGAGGCACAGGAAGCAGAGTAACTGGAAATCTGGCAAGACTTTAGAACTCTGTAAGCCCGCCCTCAGTGACGTGCTTCTTCCAGCATGGCCACATCTTCCGAGACCTCCCAAAACAGCACCACTAACTGGAGACAAAATATTGAAATACTTGGAGTCAGTGGGGGACATTGTCATTCAAACCAACACATTGCTTTCAATTGCTGTGACAAAACACTGACCAATACCAACTTGGGGAGGGAAGGGTTTATTTGGTTTACACATCTCCCGGGTCACATTTCATCAGGGAGCCCAAGGTAGGAGCCCAGGGCAGGAACCTGGAGGCTGGAGCACAAGCCATGGAAGAACACTGCTTACTGGCTTGCTCCCCAAGCCCATGCTTAGCATGCTTTCTTATACAATACAGGACAACCTGCCCAGGGGTGGCACCACCCACTGTGAGCCTGGCCTTCCCACTCACTCAGAAATCAAGGAAATACCACAGACATGGCCACGGAGGCAGTTCCCCAGTTGAGGCTTCTACCTAGGTGTGTCAAGTTGACAACTAAAGCTGTCTAGCACACCAGTGTTTTTCTGTCCACTAGTTTGTTCACCTCAGTGCGTTTCTTCTGTACACTTGGGTCATAGACTCTTCTTTGTTAAGTAAAGTTCACTGTGAATGCCTCTAAGCTGCTGTCTGCTTTCCCACTTTATGCACTTTTCTCCTTTGCTGTGTTCTGATCCCTCTAAGACAATATAATAAAGAATAGGACCCCCCAAAGTTCCTGGGGTTCTGGCCACAGCTCTGTCTCTATGCTACTCTATGGTCATGGGTCGCTTTAGCTCTGTCTTGCTTCCTTACCTGTTGCCTGGAATGCTTGATTCCTCAGGCTTCTGTTATCTCTTCTCAATTTGCCTGGGTCTGTGTTGCTAGTGGTACAAAGACAAACCGCAGCTCTGGCCCTAAGGGAGTATGACAGTGTACTCTGAGCCAAGTCCTGGAAAATATGCTCAGAAACTAAATTTATTTTATGTGTATGAGTGAGTGTATTGCCTGTATGTAAATGCACCCACCCATGTGCAGTGCCCATGGAGGTCAAAAGAGGGTGTTAGATTCCCCTGGAACTGGAGTTACCAGCAGTTGTTAGCTGCCATGTGGGTGCTGGGAATCAAACCCAGGTCCTCTGCTAGAGCAGCCAGTGCTCTTAACTGCTGAGTCATTCCTCCAGCCCCAGAAACTTAAGTTTTGTTGACTCAAGCATGGTGGCCCATGCACTCAGGTGGCTGAGGCAGAAGAATCACAAGTACAAGGCCAGCCTACAATACATAGCAAGAACCTATCAAAGGGCCAGGTGTGTTAGCATAGGCCTATAATCAAGGAACATCAGGTTCTGCCCCGGCAAGGAGGACCTGCTAGCCTGTGAAGTCTTCAAGTTTGTGTGCAGGTTACTGGAAGGCTGTCATCCAGACTCCTTTGTGGTGTAGATCCTGACTGCCCATTCCCTCTCCCTGCCAAAGCCTTCTGTCAGGGTTACAGAGTGGGAGGATTCCACTGGTTCTTCAATGATTCCCATGAGCCCACTGGGATAAGAGGAAGAGCCCAACCAGGTTCACCTCTGAACGTTCTCTTTCCTAGTTTCCTGTGGCTCCAGGACTGAAGAATGGTTCAGTGATTAAGAGCACTGGCTGCTCTTGCAGAAGACCTGGGTTTGAATCCTAGCACCCATATGGCAGTTAACAACTGTCTGTAACTCCAGTTCCAGGGGATCTGAGATGTCCTCTTCTGACCTCCACAGGCATTACATGATCACGGGTGCACTTACATGCAGGCAATACACTCATAGACATAAAAAATAACTTTTTTAAATTTCAAAAAATATTTATGGGAGGCTGGAGAAATGGCTCGGTGGTTAAGAGCACTGGCTGCTTTTGCAAAGACTTGGATTTAGTTTTCAGCACCCACATAGAGGCTTATGACCATCCTTAACTCCTGTTCCAGGGGATCTGAAGCCATCTTCTGGCCTTTTGGGACATTGCATGGATGTGGTGCATTTACATGCAGGCAAAACATTCACATACATAAAATACAAATATTTATGGCATCATTAATCAATAGTAGTCAAAAGGTGGACCAATACAAATGCCTCTATCAGCTGATAAAGGGATAAACAATGTGCTACATCCATAGCAGAAGTGCTGACTCCAACTTAAGTTTTATTTCCTGATGCTGTGATAGAACACCCTAACAGAAGCAAGGAAATGGGTGTATTGGGCTCACAATTCCAGGTCACAGTCCGTCATTGCAGGGAATTCAAGGTGACAGACTTAAAGCTGCTGGTCTCATCATCCATAATTAAGAGCAGAGAGCAGAGTTGATGCATGCATGCTAGTGCTCAGCTCACATTCTCAGACAATCCAGGTTCCCTTGCTCAGGGAATGGTGCCACCAACAGTGGGCTGGTCTTCCCACTAATCGAGGTAATCCTTCATTGAGATACCCTTCCCAGGTGATTCTAGATTATGTCAGCTTGACAAAACTAAGGATTATACCAACAATAAAAAAAAAAAGTAGGGGCTAGAGAGATGGCTCATCAGTTAAGAGTGTTGGCTCCTGTTGCAGAGGACATGGGTTTGGTTCCCAGCACCCACATGGTGGCTAACAACCATCTGTAACTCCAGTTCCAGGGGAATCCAACACCCTCTTCTGACTTCCACAGGTATTGTGTGACATGGGTGCACTTACATACATTCAGGCAGTAATACACTCATACACATAAAACAAAAAAGTAGCTGGGCATGATAACTCGGGCCTTAAATCCCAGTACTTGGGAGGCAGAAGCAAGTGGATTTCTGTGAGTTCAAGGCCAGCCTCGGCTACATACTGTGTTTCAGACCAGCTGGAGCTACAGGACAACCTTGTCTCAAAAAACAAAACAAAGTACTGAGACAATGTATGAACTCCAATTGGGGTCGGGAGGCATAAAGATGGTTTTATGTATGAATTACACAAAAATTCAATAAAATTTTTCAAGAGAAAGTACTGATATCTTGCTAGAATGTTATGCTACCTGAAAGAAGCCAGACACCAAAGACCATATTCTGTGTGATTACATGGCGGAAGTATCCAGGCAAGACAAATTCATTTACAACAGTTCCAGAAACTAGAAGTTCAAGGTGTCTAACCAAGAATCGGTTTCTCCTGAGGTCTCTTGTTTTTGTCTTTTGAGACGGTCTCATGTAGTCTAGGTTGGCCTCACATTCAGCTTCCCAGGGCCTGTGTCTCTGTCTTGATGTCTTTCCAGTAATATAGATTAAGGCCCACTCTGATACTGTATTGCTATGTCCTCAAAATTGAAGCATTCTGTCTTGGAGGAAGCAATGCGCTTCAGGAAGCTAAAGAAACTAACCAAGCTCAGGATTTACAAGGCCCCTTCCCAACCTTACATAACTTGTAAGCAACTGCTGAGGGAGTGAAGACCCATGCTCCTGTAAATAACCCCAATAAAGGTATTGCTTCACTAAGCTAGACAGGTGGAATTATTTCTTTGCTCAGTCCCTGGTGCCCTATTTGGGGTGCATAGATGTTTGTTTGCAGCTCCCCAGGAAAAGTCACACAGCAAACATCCCTACTTGTTGGGGATGCTCAAGAGAGAAGAACTCACTAGAATGATTCAAGACTGGATGTCTCACCCCAAGGTTGTATAGTTAGCAGTTGCTGGGGGTGGGGTATTCTTCAATAGAACTGCCTGCAAGCTGGGCAAGGAAATCCTGGGATGCAGCTTCTTAAAGTACCCCTTTACTGGAGTGGGTGTTAGGTGATAGAGCTGCCTAAAGCACTCGGGTTCCTATAAGTAACCTCCATAAACTCACTGGTTTACCAAGCTAAACTTTGGTGGACTTAAGTCTATCTGGAGTAAAAAGATATTGTTGGGTTGGAGTCAGGATGTGGTACTTAAGATTGCTTGCTGTTTGGGCTGGAGAGATGGCTCACTGGTTAAGAACACTGACTGCTCTTGCAGAGGACCCGGGTTCGAGTCCCAGTACCCACATGATGGCTAACAACCGACACATGCAGACAATACACTCATACACACAAAAACAAAATAATAAAATATTTTTAAAAAAGAATGCTTGCTGTTCTTCCAGAGGACCTCATTTCAGTTCCCAGCACCCATTTGAGACTTGCTCATATCCTGGCAGCCAGCCTTTCGCAAGGCTTCAGGAGGGCCTGACCTGCCAGGGGCATCAGGGTCAGTGTCAGAAGTGTCATAGGGACACCCAAATGTGCCCAGGTGGCAAGATTCCTGTATCCCTGGGGAAGCCACCTCCCATCTGGTGGTGAGTGTAGCAGAGGCCCTCATGACCTTGTTGCTGACATTCCTCAGAGGCCACGTGGCCCCAACTGGCAGGGACAGCTGCAGACAGGGGCTGAACCAGCTTTGTTCCCGCTGCCCATCCAGGCCCTTCTCAGCTCCTGCCTGACACTGATTTTCCCTCCTAGGGATTATTGGGAAGCCAGCACTGAGGGCCCCACACCATGAGGGTCTAGAGGCAAGGAGCCTACTAGGGTCTCCCAGTGAGTGGCAGGACTGTGGGAGTATGGGGCAGGACCAGACAAAGCAACAAATCGAAAAGGGACTGCAGCTGTACCAGTCCAACCAGACAGAGAAGGCGCTGCAGATGTGGCTGAAAGTTCTGGAAAAGAGTTCTGACCTCATGGGCCGCTTCCGAGTGCTGGGCTGCCTGGTCACAGCCCACTCTGAGATGGGCCGCTACAAAGAGATGCTGAAGGTAGGCGTACCCTGACAGGGTGCCATGGGAGTGCTGGGGACAGGGCTGGATGGCTCCCAGACTCCCAGGCCCCCTTGCAGCTTCCTGAGAATCCGGTGTCCCACAGGCTGATGGCTGGGCCTGAGGCTTTGAATCTGCATCTTAAGTCTTAGATGGCTTCAGATTCAGACCTGTGGCCTTCAACTTCAGTGCCTTAGCCTCCCAGACAGGTTCTCAAGCATCAAGGGCCAGGGTTCAGAAATCTCAAGACCAGACTTCCAACCGTAGGTTTCAGCCTGTCACTTAGTGGGGATTCTGAGCCTGCAGGTACAGGCTCCAAGTTTGAGGGTGGAGCTGGTGCTAGATAGAGACTCCAGATCCGAGGCCTGGGGGTGAAAGGGTGATGTTTATGGGTCTGAGCTCTTTCTAGGATGGGGCTTGGAGGATATATGCCAAGCAGGGCTGGAAGCTCTGGGCCTGAGCTTTGGGATCTGCTGTTCTAGTTGTGAAGTGGGGCTTGGGGTGCAGGTTGAGCCCAGGCTAAGGGCTGTCTGCCTACTACCCCTGGGGTCAGTTTGCTGTCGTCCAGATTGACACGGCCCGGGAGCTGGAAGATGCTGACTTCCTCTTGGAGAGCTACCTGAACCTGGCACGCAGCAACGAGAAGCTGTGTGAGTTCCACAAGACCATCTCCTACTGTAAGACCTGCCTCGGCCTGCCTGGCACCAGGGCAGGCGCCCAGCTGGGGGGCCAGGTCAGCCTGAGCATGGGCAATGCTTTCTTGGGCCTCAGCCTTTTCCAGAAGGCCCTGGAGAGCTTCGAGAAAGCCCTGCGCTATGCCCACAATAATGACGACACCATGCTGGAGTGCCGTGTCTGCTGTAGCTTGGGCAACTTCTACGCCCAGGTCAAGGTAGGCATGGGCCCCGGGGGGAGGGCACCTTGTTGTGCTGCCTGCCTCAGCTCTCCTTTTAAATAGGACAAGAGAGGACAAGAAGACACTAGGAAAGACAGAGCCAGGATTCAAACCTCCATCTGTCAGGTGGAGGCTCCTGGGTGAGGACAGGTCATGGGCTGTGTGATCATAGGCAATTCACCTGTTTCCTCTGAACCCTGAGAGTTTTGTGTAGAAGTGAGGAAGAACAGGACTCAGCACAAGGATGTAAAGATTTCTTTGTGAACTATTTCTTGAGGATTTAATCCATCCTGGGCACTACTGTGCTGTTTGTAGCAGTGAAGACAATAGCAGGTTCCCTCCAGAAGCTTTGTTCTAGCTAGGTGAGGGGGGCAGTTCGCACAATCAGGAAGTCAGTTGTGCACCATGTGCTTAGGAGAAAGTAAAGCAGAGTAAGGAAGGGGGCAGTGCCAGGATGTAGGGGTGGGGGCACCATTTTGAAGAGGGCCTCACAGGTGGATCTCTGGGAGAACAAAGCCAACCTGGTCTACATAATTCCAGTACAGCTGGGGCTACAGGGAGATCCTGTCTGAAAAAACTAAACTAAAATAAAATAAAATAATAGAGGGCCTCCATGTGGGGCTAGAGAGATGGTGTAGTGATTGAGAGCACTTGTGCTATTCCAGAGTTCAGTTCCCAGCACCCACTTTGGGCAGCTCACTACTGCCTATAGCTCTGGCTCCAGGGAATCCAATGCCTTCTTCTGGCCTCTGTGTGCATCCACAGACATGTGGCATACACTCACATAGACACATACATGTAAAGGTAAATAAATCTTAAAAGAGGGCCTCAGTGAATAGTGGAGGAGAGGGATAAGCCAGACAGACATCTGGGAAGAGCTGTTCAGGCAAAGCTCTGCCAGTAAGGACAGAGGGCTGCCATATGTGAGGAAGAGGTAGAAAGGTTTACAGAAGACTGGGTTGTGAGTCAGAAGAGGGCATCAGATCCCCTGGAACTGGAGTTAGGGATGGTTGTTAGCCACCATGTAGATGCTGGAAACCGAACTCAGGTCCTCTGCAAGAGCAGCCAGTGCTCTTAACTGATGAACCCTCTCTCCAGCTCATTTCTGATTTATTTTTATTTTATGTGTATGAGTGTTTTGTTTACAAGTATGTAAGTGTACCACATGCATGCAATGCCCATGGAGGCCAGAAGAGGGCATCAGATCCTCTAGAACTGGAGTGACAGCTGGTAGCTGCCACGTGGGTGCTGGGGGGAAGAGAACCCTGGGTCCTCTGCAAGAGCAACCAGTGCTTTTAACTGCTGAGCCATCTCTCTAGCACCCACATCTCTAAAATTTTAAAAAGACGTTTTGTTTTCTAAGGACGCTTTCTTACATAATCACATACCCCAAAATTGTCATAACCTCTGAATAGCATCAAAATGATCTGTGAATACCTATCTATATTTACATTTCTCTGCTTATCCTAAAAATAATTCCCTTACCCTCGGCTTGTTGGAAGTGGAACACAAGCAAGAGCGACACACATCCAGGCTTATTGTGTCGTTTATGTCTCTTTGAATAGAAAATTCCTCCTCTCCACTTTTATTTTCCGTGACGTATTTCCCAGATTTACTCACAGAATGCCCCATCTTACTTCCCCTCATCTCGTTTTCTTGTTTCCTTAAGAAGACTTGAAACTTCATCACCTCCTCTGAGTTTTGTAAGATTAGGTCACACATCTTTGGTTAAGAATACTGTGTCAGGGGCTGGAGAGATGGCTCAGTGGTTAAGAACACTGACTGTTCTTTCAGAAGACCCAAGTTCAAATCCCAGCACCCACATGGTAGCTAACACCTGTCTGTAACTCCAGTTCCAGGAAATCCGATAGTCTCTTCTGTCCTCCGCAGGCATTGCATGACACGGGTGCACTTACCTACCACACATACACATAAAATACAAATAATAAAATATTTTAAAAAGAATACTGTGTCAGCAATATTTGTGCCCTTCATTTAAAATGGTATCAAGATGTGGGGCTGTGGAGATGGCTTGTGGGTAAAGGGCTTGCCATTCAAGTCCAAGGACCTAAGTTCCAGCCCCAGAACCCATGTGAAAAAACAAATAAAAATATTTAGTCCAAGCACTCAGGAGGTAGAGGCAGGGGGATCTGTGTGAGATTGAGGCCAACCTGATCTACATAGCAAGTGCCAGGCCAGAGTGGGAGGGGGAGATACAGGGAGACCCTGTTTCAAAAAAAAAAAAAAAACAAGTATTGTGTGCTTGTAATCCCCGTGCTGGGCAGATCCCTGGGGCTCAATGGCCAGCCAGCCATCATGGTGAGACTTAGGTCATTTTGAGAGTTTGTCTAAAAAAAAGTGAAGGGTGCTGAAGAGCAACATCCAAAGTTGACTTCTGGTGTGCATACACAAACACACACATGAACACACACACACACACACACACACACACACACACACACCAAGTATTAAAGAAAAATAGTCTGCTAAAAAATTCCAGCATTAAAAGCTAATGAGACTGGAGTTTGATGCTCCTCCAGAGGACCCAAATTTAGTTCCCAGCACCCACATTTAGCAACCCACAACTGCCTGTAATGCCAGGGGAGCCTTCTGGTTTCTGTAGGCACCTGCATATGTGCATATATTCACACAGAGACACACACATACACATAAATAAATAATAAATCTTCAGCTGGGCATGGTGGCCCATAACCTTTAATCCCAGCCCTCGGGAAGTAGAGGCAGGCAGATCTCTGAGCATTTGAGGCCAGCCTGGTCTATATGGTTCCAGGCCACCTAGTGCTACACAGTGATGCCCTGTCTTCAAAAAAAAAAGAAAGAAAAGAAAAATCAAATGGTACTAGAGATGTGGCAGCGCCACATAAATCAAGGTGCAGTACCGCACACGCCTGTAATCCCAGCACTTGGGAGGTAGGGGCAGGAGGATCAGAAGTTCAAGGTCATTCTTTGCTCATGGTGAGTATGGAGCCAACCTAGGCTACCAGACCTTGTCTCAACAACAAAAAGCCTAATATAGATGGTTCAGGGACTGACGGAGGGGTGCCCTCCATTTTTAGGTTCAGTTTCCCTTTCAGGTTCAGCTTGTTAATTCTGTTTGCAACATTTTCCCTAGTGGTTCCAGTGTCCACTGATGTTGCCTGAACCAATTATTTCACTTGAATGCTACTGATTTAAATGGGACATCCACAGTCTCCTATTCCATCTTCATTTATTCATTTATTAGCTGGGGTTTTCCCTCCCTCCCTTCCTTCTTCCTTCCTTCCATCCTTCCCTCCCTCCCTCCCTTCCCTTCCCTTCCCCTTCCTTCCTTCCTTCCTTCCTCCCTCCCTCCCTCCCTCCTCTCCCTTCTCCCTCCTTCTCTCCCTTCTCCTCCCTCCCTCCCTCTCTGTCTCCCTCCCTCCTCCCTCCTTTCTTTCAGTTTTTGAAACAAGGTCTCCCTGTAGCCCCAGCTAACCTGGAACTCTGTACATAGACCAGGCTGGCCTCCACCTCACAGCCTGCCTCTGCCTCTGTCTCCTGAGTGCTGATATTAAAGATTTCCACCACCATGCCTGGCTGGATTTTTTTTTTTTTCCTTTCATCAGTTAGGGTGGTTGATTTCTTTGAATTGTAATTCCTAAAGAAAAAAAAACCACTTTCCCCCTTTACTTCAGTTATAGTTTTCCAAGGTCATGCTTACTGTTTTGTTTTCTATTTTTGAAGTATTTCTAAGAAAACAAGGTTTTGTATGTTTTGCTTTTTTTTAACCTCGGTATTTTTGAGTCAGTTGCAATTGTCTTTTTTTTCGGTGGTAGTGCTGGGGATGGAAGCCAGGGCCTTCCATATAATAGACAGTTCTCTCTTGTTGAGCTTCATCCCTGTCCCCCTGTTATTATTTTTTGATGTTTGAATTATCTTCTTTAAAAATTCTTATGTGGGGCTGGAGAGGTGGCTCCGAAATTAAGAATACTGTTTTATCACTGGCTGCTCTTGCAGAGGACCCTGAGTTCAGTTCCCAGCACCCACGTGACAACTAACAACCATCCATAAGTCCAGTTCCAGGAGATCCGACGCCCTCTTCTGACCTCTATGGGCATTGCATGACATGGGTGCACTTGCATGCAGGAAATACACTCATACACATAAAAATAATAAAATATTTAAAATATATATATATGTGTGTGGGTGTGAGAGAGTGTGGGCGTGTATGTTTATGGTGCTTACAGGTGCCCACACTTGTATGTCCATGTGTAGAAGCCAGAGGAAGATGTTGGGTGTTCTGTTCTTTCCCTGTCTGGTTTATTCCCTTGAGACAATGTCTGTTGCTGAACCTAGAGCTAGGCTGGCAGCTAACAAGCCCCAGTGATCCTCCTGCTTCTACCCCCCACAGTGATTGGAGTTACAGGTGCACATAAGATGAACCCATCTAGTTTTTCGCTTTTTGGGTTTTTGGGTTTTTTTTTGGTCTTTTTGAGACAGGGTCTCCCTGTAGCCCCAGCTGGTCTGGATTCGCTATGGAGACCAGGCTGGCCTTGAACTCACAGAGATCCGCCTGCTTCTGCCTCCTGAGTGCTGGGATTAAAGGTGTGCGCCTCCACACCTGGCCCATCTACTTTTTTTACGTTATTGAAATTGTGTGTGTATATGTGTGTGCATGCCAGGGTATGTGTGGAGGTCAGAGTTCAACTGACACAACTTGGAGGAGTCAGTTCTCTCCTTCCACCATGTGTGTCCCAAGGACTGAACTCGGTCATTAGGCTTGGTGGGCAAGCATCCTTACCTGCTGAGCCACCTCTTAAACTCGGGTTCTGGGGATTTAAACTCAGATCCTCATGCTTGTACAATAAGCACTCTTACCCTCTGAGCCCTCTCCCTAACCATTTGTTACTAACTTTGTCCAAAAGCAGCCCCTACAGCCTGGCTCCATGTCCTTTTCACAAACTTTTCATTTAGTCTGGTTTTTGGCACAATACACTGCCACAGGCTTGTTTTTGTGTGTACTTTAGGCTAGATGTGAAGCCAGCTGTTTTCCCAGGTTTTCCTCAGTGAGCAATGAAAATTGAAGTATGAATGTGGGTTCTCAGGTGTTCATTGCTGCCGGATGGACTGTGTGCTTCTAAATCTTTTTTAATTGCCAAAACAATGAGAGTTTGTACAGCCCTGATATTTCCCATTGAAACCTAATGCTTTGGAGTTCCCTTTCATTGATTTTAAACTTGACTTTCTCTTCGATGGAAAGTTTTGTTTGATTGTTAGTTCGTCTGTTTGGTTGGTTTGTTTGAGGCAGGGTCTCACTTACCAGACTGGCCTCAAATTGGGTGTAGAGCTGAGGCTGGCCATGAACTCCGGATTCTTTTGTCTCCACCTTCTGGGTGCTGTGATTACAGATGAGCATCATCACACCTGGCCTTGCTGTTATGTTTTAAACACATAAGATGGTTTGGTTAGAGAGAACTCAGTGACCCAGAAGTAGGAGCACAGGCTTGGGAGTGGGTTCCACTACATGGGAGTGCATAGAAAGGGGGCCAGGATGGAAGGGTAGATGATGTGGCTCAGAGTGAATGTGGGAACTCCTCTGAGCTCCAGTTTGCTTCTGGGTGGGAGGCAGGGTCATCAGCTGTCCATGTGGAGGGAGGAATGGTTTTTGCAGGTTTGAGGAGGAAGCATGGGAGTATTTCATGGCCTCACAGAGCCTGTTCTGATTCTTTGAGCTGATGGTACTGGCATTCTGTCACTGAGTCCTCAGTGAGCAGCTGCTACTGAAGACTCCAATATACCCCTCCCTGTGCTGAGCAGCCACCTGGGACTGGATGAGAGAAACCAGCTGGGTGTTTTTGCTCGTCTGTTTTTGTTTTGTTTTGTTTTTTTTCTTTGTCATTTTGTTCATTGAACAGATACTTGTTGTGCATCTACTAAGTCCAAGAACTGTGCTAAGCCCTTAGGATACAGAAGCAATTCCAAAAGGTCACACATGTATACCGGCTCCCCCTCTACTTGAATCATGCTTTCTGCTGGAGGCCAGAATAAATGAATAAGTTGAGCATGGTGGTGCATACCTGCAATCCTGGTAATCAAGGACAATCACAAGTTTGAGGTCACCCTGGGCAACATAACAAGATCCTGTCCCCCCCCAAAAAAAGGGGCACAGCAGTTAAGAGTGCTGGCTGCTCTTGCAGAGGACCTGGGTTCAGTTCCCAGCACCCACATGGCTTTTAACAACTATCAGTAACCCCAGTTCCAGGGGTCTGATGCCCACTTCTGGCCTTTGTGGACATTGCATACATGGGTGCATTTGTATACATACAAGCCAAACACTCATGCCCATAAAAATAAATTTTAAAAAATTTAAAAAAGAATGAACATTGAGGTCCCTGGGCTTGGGGCAATTCTTACCAACTCTGTGTGTCCCCTCCCATCCTATGTCCCCTACAGGACTATGAAAAAGCCCTGTTCTTCCCCTGCAAAGCTGCAGAGCTCGTCAGTGACTATGGAAAAGGCTGGAGCCTCAAATACCGGGCCATGAGCCAGTACCACATGGCTGTGGCATACCGCCTGCTGGGCCACCTGGGAAGTGCCATGGAGTGTTGTGAGGTGGGTCAGCTGGGAAGCAGGCAGGTGACTAGGGGTGGGAAGGTCTCAGGCCCAGGTCACAGAGCCCACCTCCTGTATTCTAGATCAGTCCACAGAAGCCCTGAAGGCCTGTCCATGGGCAAGCTCTCTACAGCTGAGCACCTGAAAGATGTGTTTGTACCATCAGCCCTATCCTAGACCTCACTTCCTTCCAATCCATCCTCAGGGCAAGAGGCTTCCCTGTCCCATAACCTCCTATGGGCCTCTTTGAAAAGTAAAACAGAGCCGGATATGGTGGTGCATGCCTTTAATCCCAGTACTCAGGAGGCAGAGGCAAGTGGATCTCTGTGAGTTCAAGGCCAGCCTGGCTAGCCTGGGGCTATAGAACTGGGACAAGGACCGAGATTCAATAGCCTTTCTTGCTTTTGTTATTTTTTATTATTTATTTATTTATTGTCTTTTTGAGACAGGGTCTCTCTGTAGCCCTAGCTGGCCCGGAACTCACGACCAGGCTGGCCTTGAACTCACAGAGATCCACCTGCCTCTGCCACCAGAGTGCTGGGATTAAAGGCATGTGCCACCACACCCAGCTATTTTTTATTTTTTAAATTTATTTTTAGTTTTTGGTATTTTGAGACAGGATTTCACTATGTAGCCCTGCCCTGGCCTGGAACTCTCTATGTAGATCAGGCTAGCCTCATGCTCACAGTGATCCATCTGCCTCTGTTGCCTCCCAAGCGCTGGGATTAAAGGTGTGTGCTACCATGTTTTTTTTTGTTTTGTTTTTGTTTTTGTTTGAGACAGGTCTCTCTATGTAATCTGGACTAGGCTTGAACTCACAGTGATCATCCTGCCTCAGCCCCCCAAGTGCTAGGAGTACAGGCACGTGATACTAAAACAGTGAATGCTGGGGTTACAGGTTTGTGCCACCACCCTGGGTTTTATGTGGTGCTGGGTACCAAACCCAGGGCTTCATCCACTCTAACCACTGAGATACACCCCCAACCTTCTGTTTTACTTTTCTTTTTTTTGAGACAGGGTTTTCCTATAGCCCCAGGCTAGCCAGGCTGGCCTTGAACTCACAGAGATCCACTTGCCTCTGCCTCCTGAGTACTGGGATTAAAGGCATGCACCACCATATCCGGCTCTGTTTTACTTTTCAAAGAGGCCCATAGGAGGTTATGGGACAGGGACGCCTCTTGCCCTGAGGATGGATTGGAAGGAAGTGAGGTCTAGGATAGGGCTGATGGTACAAACACATCTTTCCTGGTCTACATAGTGAGTTCCGGGCCAGCTAGGGCTACAGAGAGACCCTGTCTCAAAAAGACAATAAATAAATAAATAATAAAAAATAACAAAAGCAAGAAAGGCTATTGAACCTCGGTCCTTGTCCCAGTTCTCTAGCCCACTTCCATTTCTGGGAGTGCATTAATAAACTGTCCCTGTTTATATCACACAAAGAAGGTAGAGAGGGAAGGAGTGAGGGAAGAAGGGAAGGAGGGAGGAAGGAAGGGAGGAAGGGGAAGACAAGTGAGAGACAAAAGTAAAACAGAAGAAGTTCTACTGACCTGGGTTCAAATCCCATTTTTGCTACTTAATCTGGTTGATCTTAATGAAGTTAACTTCTCTCTGAGTTTCTGTTTCCACTTGTCAAACGTGGTACTATGATCTTAGTAGCTCAGTGCAGAGGCTTCAGCACCATGAAAAGTCTGTTAGATTCCAGAGATGTGGAGATCCCTGGGCTGTCCCTTCTGAGGAGCCACTTGATAGAGGGCACCCCATAGAGTGGTCACATGAGCTGGCCTGAACAACCTGCATCTCTTTTAGGAGTCCATGAAGATTGCTCTGCAGCATGGGGACCGGCCATTGCAGGCCCTCTGCCTGCTCTGCTTTGCTGACATCCACCGGAGCCGTGGGGACCTGGAGGTGAGGTCACTAGAATGAGATGGGGGGACCTTGGTCCTGGGGCACCCTGATTCCAATCTCCACCTGGCTCTGCAGACAGCCTTCCCTAGGTATGACTCAGCCATGAGCATCATGACGGAGATAGGAAACCGCCTGGGGCAGGTGCATGTACTGCTGGGTATGGCCAAATGCTGGATGGCCAGGAAGATGCTGGACAAGGTGAGTCAGGCCTTTTCCTATGGCTGCAGCTCTCCCCAGTACTCCCAACTTGGGGCTACTCAGTCAGCCAACACGCAGGGGGTACAGTGCTGGGCTTGGCCCCTTTATCTAGCATCTGCCTCACCCTGTTCCCTTGAGGCCAGGACAGTTCCAGGTATTCTCCACACTCAGAGAAAGCCCATGTTTTGCCCATAGATAATAAAGGGCCAGAGCTGGAGTTTGAGCTTGGATGCTTCATTGCCTCCCACCATCTCACAGCATCCCATGTGACAGTTGTGTTCTGCCTGTTCTGTCTGCATAAACTAAGGCAGGAGCTAACTTGCTCATGCAGTCTCTGGTTACCTTCACTCACAGGGCAGTGGCCCCCAACCTTGTTGCCTTCCCCAGACCTATATCCCTTTCTTTGCTATGAGCCAAGGTAGTCAGACACTTCCCACAGCTCTGGCCACTGCTTACCTTCCAGGCTCTGAATGCCATTGAGAAAGCCCAGGACCTGGCTGAAGAGGTGGGGAACAAGGTCAGACATGATTCTGTCTCCTGGATCTGGGGTCAAGAGCCAAGGGGGTAAACTGGATGTGGTGGCACACACCTGTAATGGCAGTGCTGGGGAGGAAGAGGATGGAGGGTCAGAATTCAAGATCATCCTTCATTACAAAGTGAGTTGGAGCCCAGTTTGGGATAGGTAACACCCTGTCTCAAAACAAAAAACAAGGGCTGGAGAAATGGCTCAGCAATTGAAAGCACCTACTGCTCTTGCAGAGGACCAGAGTTCAGTTCTCAGCATTCACATTTGGCTCACAATTGCCTGTAACTCCAGTTCCAGGGAATCCAACACCCTTTTCTGGCCTCCAAGGGCATCAGGAACACACATGGTACACATACATACAAGCAGGCAAGACACATACAAAATAAAAATAAACAAATCTTTTTAAAAAGCCAAGGGCGGGACATAGGTTCTAACGGTTCTAACAGCTCCTGGGTCTGCTTATGCCCTGAGCCCCTCTGACCCTCTGGGAGCTGCCTGTAGCCATCCAAGCCCCCTGAAACTCAAGCTTCCACCCAGATTGCATTTCTGGGGCAGGGCAAGCATTTCACAGCTTGGAGGATCCCAGAGTTCCTTGTAGACACTTGTTCACTAATTAGGGGCTGGAGAGATGGTTCAGTGGTTAAGAGCACTGGCTGCTCTTGCAGAGGATCCAGGTTCAGTTCCCAACACCCAAATGGCGACTAACAACCATCCCCTACTCCCGTTCCAGGGGATATGCCTTCTGGCCTCTTCAGATATTACACACATGTGGTGCACTTACATGTATGCAGGCAAAACACCTATACATACAAAATAAAAAATAAAATAGAAAAAACTAATAAGCCAGGCATGGTGGTATATGCCTCTAACCACAGCACTGGGGAGGCAGAGGCAGGTGGATCTCTGTAGCCAGCTTGGCCAGCCAGGGCTATATAGTGAGACTCTTTCTCAACAACAACAACAAACAAATAAACAAACAAACAAACACAAAAACACAAAAAACAACAGTGGCCTCTATCCTTCAGGAGCTGGGTACACACTGGTCCTTGTAGGTATTGGCTCCAGCCTTCCTTGTGAGATGCTTACAGTGATACCATGTTATAGATAAGAAAAGCGGGACCCAAGGTCCCCCATCTACCAACTGATCTGCCTTAATGCCAAAGCCCAGAGTATATGCAGCTTCTCCAAATGCAGTAACCATATCCAGACTTTAAAGTATTGCAAACAACTTAGTGTTTCTCAAAGTCATCTAGAAAATGTGCATTTCTGTGGGGTCAGTGCACAGCCCAACCAAGATGCCAGAATATATTTACTTTGGGCTGAACCACAGCCAGTCTTGCTTACCCAGGTATCAGGCTGATTAGAAATGTCTAATCAGTGAAAATAAGGAAGCAAGACCTTACAGTAGTTTTGGTGAACAAAATCCTTCAAAAACACAAGGTTAGCCTGCTATGGTGGCAGGATCCTGTCCTAGTACTTGGGAGGCAGAGGCAGAAGGATCAGGAGTTCAAGGTCATCCTTGAGTCTATAGCGAGGGGAGCCTAGACTATATGAGACCCTATCTCAAAACAAAAACAAGAGCTAATGAGATGGTTCAGCAGGTAAAGCACTTGCCATGAAGCCTGACCTGAGTTCAATCTTTGAAACACACATGGTGGAAGGAGAGAGCCAACTCCTGAAAGTTGTCCTGATTCTAGCTTCACATACTACACATAGACACACGCATACAAACTAAGACTTAGGACTGGAGAGATAGCTTAGCTGTTAAGAGCACTCATTGCTCTTGCAGAAGTCCTGGGTTCAATTCCTAGTACCCACATGGCCACTAACAACTGTTCTGTAACTCCAGTTCCAGGGGAATTTGACTCTCCTGACCTCTGTGGGCATTGCACTCAGGAGGCAGAGGCAGGCATATCTCTGTGAGTTCGAGGCCAGCCTGGTCTCCATAGTGAATCCAGGCCAGCTGGGGCTACAGGGAGACCCTGTCCCAAAAAGACCAAAAAGAAAAAAAAAATAAAAACCATCAAATAATGGGGACTGGAGAGACGGCTAAGTGGTTCAGAGCACTGGCTGCTCTTGCAGAGGATCCAGGTTCAGCTCCCAGAGGCTAACAACCTTCTGTAACTCCAGTTCCAGGGTAATCTGATGCCCTTTTATGACCTCTGAAGGCAATGCACAACACTTGGTGCATTTATACACACATGCAGGCAATGCACTCATACACATATAATAAAAATTAAGCCAGGTGTGGTGGCGCATGCCTTTAATCCCAGCACTCAGGAGGCAGAGGCAAGCCAATCTCTGTGAGTTTGAGGCCAGCCTGGTCTACATAGTGAGTTCCAGGCCAGTTAGGACTACAGGGAGGCCCTAAAAAAAAAAAAAAAAAAAAAAAAAGACCCCCACAAAAACCATTTAAATTAAACCAAACAAAGCAAAACAAAAATATTAGGCCCTGTGATCTAGTTCTTGGTGTGGAGAGCTCTGCTCACACCTACCCCACCATTCTGCTCGAAGGGAAATCAGAGGCTCAGGGAGAGTAGGGTACTTTTCCTAGGTCCCAAAGGAAGGCAGGGGTGTGGCAGGAACAGCACCTTACTAGAACTGACCAAGGTCTCATCCCCAACCCCATCTACCCACACCCCATCTACCCCCACTCCATCTACCCCACCCCATCTACCCCACCCCATCTACCTCCACCCTATCTACCCTCACTACCTCAGCTGAGCCAGCTCAAGCTGCACTGCCTGAGCGAGGGCATCTGCCGCAGTAAAGGGCTGCAGCATGAGCTGCGCTCGCACGTGGTGCGGTTCCATGAGTGTGTGGAGGAGACAGAGCTCTACTGCGGCCTGTGTGGCGAGTCCATTGGGGAGAAGAACAGCCGGCTGCAGGCCCTGCCCTGCTCCCACATTTTTCACCTCAGGTGAGACAGGTGCAGGGTAGGGTGGGCAGGGCTGCAGGGTCACACTAACCACCTTGCCTTCCAAGGGGGTCTGAGAACTCACTCACTGCCTCTCCCAGCAGCCTTGTGAGGTAGCATTTTGTTTTGTTTTGCTTTGTTTTGTTATTTGAGATAGGGTCTCACTATTTAGCCTTGGCTGGCCTAGAACTCACTATGTAGACCAGGCTGGCCTTGAACTCACAGAGATCTGCCTGCCTCCCAAGTGCTGGGATTAAAGGCTTGTGCCATCACACCTGGATACCGTGCTTATCACCCCAAGGGGAATTCAGAGAAGCTTCTTGAAGGTCTTCAGGTCAGCGCCCAGGGCCAGGCCACAGCCAGCCTTCAAGCCCTGGGCCAGAGCAAGCAGGAGGGCAGCTGCAGGCCTTTCCTTCCACTGGGATGGAATGGAGGAAGAGAGAAGGAGGGGTGGGGCAGAGAAGGTCTGGCCTGGGTGAGCGGACCAAACCTTCTGCCACATCAGGTGCCTGCAGAACAATGGCACCCGGAGCTGCCCCAACTGCCGCCGCTCCTCCATGAAGCCAGGCTTTGTGTGAAGTCAGCAGCCATCCTGGTGTCCACACCACCTCCTTTGACTCCTTTTCCATCAGGCTGAAGGCCCTGGTGAAATCCCAGGGTAGCTTCTCCTCAGCCATGATCATCGCCTGAGGCCTGCTGCTCCTCTGGGCCCAGCTGCCCTCCTGTGTCTCTTTGTACTTTGCTCTTTATAGAAAAATAAACTGTTTGTACCTGGACCCAGTGATTCTGACCTTTCCTCCCCAAGGTCTGAGGGGTGGGGAGAATAGAGGTGACCTTTTTTCCTATACATAAGAAGCCTCTCTCAGCCCAGTGTGGTGGTACATGCCTTTAATCCAACACTCAGGAAGGCAGAGGCAGGCAGATCTCAATGAGTTCAAGGCCAGCCTGGTCTACATAGTGAGTTCCAGGCCACCTGGGGCTACAGGAAGACCCTGTCTCAAAATGACAGAAAAAAAAAAAATGAAGTCTCTCTCCACAAGTGATGTGAGATCCTGCAGCCACCCTTCTAGGAACTTGGACAACACAGTGAACTGGAGACAAGATCCCTGCTGGTGAGATCTGTCGTGCCAGTGCTTGAGAGTGGAAAAACTACAGTAGACACAATAAACAGTGTGGAAAATGCTGGAAACGTGTGTGAACTCAATTGTAAACCTATGTCCTACCAATTTATCTGTTGATGCCTTAGTCTATCAGGCTGATAGAAAAAATACCACATAGTGATTGCCTTCTAAACAACAGAAATTGGGGGCTGGAGAGATGGTCCAGTGGTGAAGAGTGCTTGCTGCCCAATCATGCCAACTGGGTTCCCAACACACACGAGGGGTGGAGAGTTCACAACTGCCTGTAACTCCAGCTATAAGGGATCTGATACCCTCTTCTGAACTCTTTGAACACCTGCTAATGCATGTGTGCATACCTTAACATGGACGCACATAAATAAATTAAAAGAAAATTTATTGTAGTTCCCCTGGCTGGGAAGCCCAAGATCAAAGTGTCTGCAGATTTATTGTCTGAGGAGGGCCCACTTCCCAGTTCATAGATGTGTCTTTTTATTTATTTAATTTTTTTTTTTGAGGCAGGATCTCCCTGTGGCTCTAGCTGGCCTGGAGCTTGCTATGTAAACCAAGCTGGCCTCAATCTCAGAGATCCACCTGCCTCTGCCCCCCGAGTGCTGGGATTAAAGGCGTGCACCACAAAGCCCAGCTGTATTTATTTTTTTGAGACAAAGTTTCACTATGTAGCCCTGGCTGCCATGGAACATACTATGTAGACCAAGCTTGCCTCTAATTCCCAGAGATCCACCCGCTTCTGCCTCCCAAGTGCTGAGATCAAAGGTGTGTGCCACCACACCTGGCCCCTTATGTGTCTTCACATGGTGGAAGTTGCAAGGAGACTCTCTGGTCCTTTTTTTAATATATTTTTATTTATTATTTTTATTTTATGTGTATGAGTGTATTGCCTGCATATATGTGAGTGCACCCGTGTCATGCAATGCCGCCGCGGTCAGAAGAGGGCTTCGGATTCCCCTGGAACTGGAGTTAAGGATGGTTCGTAGCTGCCATGTGGGTGCTGGGAATCGAACCCAGGTCCTCTTCAAGAGCAGTCAGTGCTCTCAACCACTGAGCCATCTCTCCAGCCCCCTGTGGTCCTTTTTTTGTTTTTTAAATCATAAAGGGATGAATTCATTCATGAGGGCTCTATCATCATGACCTCATCACCTGTCCCACTACAAACCTCACCATGTGGGGGATTAGATTTCAATATACGATTTGGAAGGGACACAATCATCGTGTCCCTTGATTGTATTTGAGGATAAGGCCTTGAATAAGAGTTAAAAGGCTGGGGGAGGGGTCTGCAGAGATGGCTTAGTGGTTAAGAGGGACCTGGGTTCTGTTCACAACTATCCATAACTCCTGATCCAGAGGATTTGACAATCTCTTCTGACTTCTGTGGGCATTGCATGGCACAGATGCACTTACATACATGCAGGCAATACACATACACAGAAAATAAAATAATAAATAAGGAGCTTGGCATGGTGGCGCACGGCTTTAATCCCAGCACTCAGGAGGCAGAGGCAGGCAGATCTCTGTGAGTTTGAGGCCAGCCTGGTCTACATAGTGAGTTCCAGGCCAGCTGGGACTACAGGGATACCCTATCTCAGAAAGACCAAAAATATGGGCTGGAGAGATGGCTTAGCAGTTAAGAGCACTGACTGCTCTTGCAGAGGACCCAGGTTTGATTCCCAGCACCCACATGGTGGCTATGAACCGTCCTTAACTCCAGTTCCAGGGGAATCCGAAGCCCTCTTCTGACCTCTGCGGCACTGCATGACACAGGTGCACTCACATACATGCAGGCAATACACTCATATACAAAAATAATAAAATATTTAAAAAATTTTTAAAGACCCAAAATAAATAAATAATATTTTTAAAAAGAGTTAAAGGCTGAGGTGATAGCTCAATGGGAAGAGTGCTTGTTTAAGTGTGCATGAGGCCCTGGGTTCAATCCCCAGCACCACATAACCAAGTATGGTAGTGCACACTTGCAATTCCAGCACTCAAGGGTAGATACATGAAGATCAGAAGTTCAAGGTCCTTCTTGGCTACATAGCATATTTAAGGAAACTGGCTCAAAAAAAAATAAAAAGGGCCAGGCATGGTGGTGCATGTCTTTAGTCCCAGCACTCAGGAGGCAGAGGCAGGCGGATCTCTGTGAGTTCAAGGCCAGCCTGGTCTACATAGCAAGTTCAAGGCCAGCTGGAGCTACAGGGAGACCCTGTCTCAAAAAGACTAAATAAATAAATAAATAGGAGTTAAGTGACACTCTAAGGGTAGGACAGGAATCCAACAGGACTGCTGTCCTTATGAGATAAGGAAGAGACATTAGAAAGACCAGAGAGCTTTTCCTGTCTTTCAGTGATGCACAGAGAGCATCTCTAAATGTATTTTGGTCATATCCACCCTCTCCTCCCCACATCTCTCCCTGAATGCACCTCCAACATGTCCCCCTTCCAACTTCATATTCTCTTATGTCTCCAATTAGTGCTACCCATGTGCTCCTGTGTGGGGGACCATCCACTGCAGCATGGGCAACCTACCAATGGCCACACCCCAGAAAAAAAATGACTCTAGCCCAGCAGGCATTGGGTGCCAGTAGCTTTTCAGTGAGGGGTGGGGCCTAGTGAGCCCTCCCGTGCCAGTGCTGGAGTTTGGAGTGGCTTGATCTGGTGCAGATAACTGCTGCTGTGATTTCATGAATGTTATGTCCAGAAGACAGCATTTCACAACCATCTTGGTTTGTTTTGTTGTTGTTTTTGTTTGAGACAGGGAGTCTCACTGGGACTTGGGGCTCACCAGTTCAGCTGGACTGACTTGCTGGTCAGCAAGCTCCGGAGATCTGCCTGTCTCCACCTCGCCCCTCCCCCGTGCTGGGATTGCAAATTCATGCCACCATACCCTGCTTTTTACATGGGTGCTGGGGATCGAACTCAGGTCCTCACATTTGTGCAACAAGCACTTCACCAGCTGAGCCATCTCTCTAGCCTCATCATTTTTTGACATGGAAAGAGACTGACCATGTAGGTAGGTATATTAAGGAAGTCATTTTCCTCACTATTGAAGAGAAGAAATACAAACATGGAAAAGGCGAAAACTAGAAGGGGCCCTGTGGTGTTAAGCTGAATTTTGTAGTAATCAATAGGTAGTAATCAAAATATATTATGGATTTTAGAAAATATAGCTAGGGGCTGGAGCAATAGCTCAGCAGTTAGGAGTGCTTGCTCCTCTTGCAGAGGATCAGGGTTCAGGTCTTAGCATCCATGTCAGGTGACTCACGACCCCGTGTAACACTAGTTCTAGGAGATCTAGTGCCCTCTTCTGGTCTCTGTGGGTACCTGTACACATGTGCACATACATACAGACACACACATATGCATAAAAAATAGTTTTAAAAGATACAGCTAGTTACAGGAATAAACACAGTTCTAAATGTGTATGTGTGTGTGTGTGTGTGTGTGTGTGTGTGTGTGTTTGTGTGTTTGTGTCCAGAAGCCTGGAGCTGTGACATGCCAACAGCAGTGAGCACACTTACCACCCAGATCTTGGCTTCTAAATACTGTGGTCCCAAAAACAAGTAGGCTCTTTGGGGAACAACCTGTTCCAGGCCAGAGCCATGGGACCTACAAGATGAGCCTGCAGGAGCTGGAGAGATGGCTCAGCAGTTAAAAACACTGGTTGTTCTTGCAGAAGACCCGGGTTGGAATCCCAGCACCCACATGGCAGCTAACGACTGTCCATAACTCCAGTCCCAGGGGATCCGACAGCCTCTTCTGACCTCTGCAGGCATTGCTGGACACAGGTGCACTTACCTACATGCAGGCAATACACGCACACACATAAAATAAAATAAAAAAAGAAACAAAATTAAAAAAAAAAAAAGATGAGCCTACAAAGGAAACTGAAAGGAAGATGAGGATAACTCAGACAGACATCAGAGCCAGCTTGGATGGGCTGCCACAGCCCATTGGTGGTGACTAATCATGATTGTTTTATCGGCACAGGCTGCCATCACAAAATATCACAGAATGGTGTTTCAAGCAACCAAAATTTATTTCCTTCCAGTTCTGGAGACTCAAGTGCAAGATCAAAGTGCCATTAAAATTTTAGAAGCTGCCTTATCACTGTGTCCTTACATAACCATTTATCTGTGCTCCTGTAGAGACAGAGGTGTTCTTTCTTCCTTCTTTCAATAAAGGTATTAATCCTTCCATGAGTGACCTACTGAACCTGACCCCAACCACCTCCCAAAGCCCCATCTCCAAACACCATCACACTCAGAACTAGGACCTCAACATGGGAACTTTTTAAAAAAATTATTTTTATTTTTTATGTGTATGCGTGTATTGCCTGTGTGTAGGTAAGTGCACCCATGTCATGCAATGCCTGCAGAGGTCAGAAGAGGCTGTCGGATCCCCTGGGACTTGAGTTATGGACATTATGGACAGTTTTGAGCTGCCATGTGGGTGCTGGGATTCGAACCCGCATCTTCTGCAAGAACAACCAGTGTTCTTAACCACTGAGCCATCTCTCCAGCCCCACATGAGGACTTTTAAAATATTTTATTTATTATTTATTTATTTATTTTGGTCTTTTTGAGACAGGGTCTCCCTGTAGCCCCAGCTGTCCTGGAACTCACTATGTAGACCAGGCTGACCTTGAACTCACAGAGATCCTCCTGCCTCTGAGTCCCGAGTGCTGGGATTAAAGGCGTGTGCCACCATGCCCAGCTTTATTTATTATTTTTATTTTATGTGTTTGAGTGTATTGCCTGTATGTGTGTAAGTGCAACTGTGTCTTGCAGTGCCAACAGAGGGCAGAAGGTGGCATTGGATCCCCTGGAACAGAGTTAGGGAAGGTTGTTAGCCACCATGTGGGTGCTGGGAATGGAACCCAGGTCCTCTGTCAGAGTAACCAGTACTCTTAACCACTGAGCCATCTCTCCAGCCCCTCAACATGAAGATTTTTGAGAGACACAAAGATTCTGTCCACAGCAGTGACACATATTTTATTAAGATAAGGACCCATACTGATATAATTAAAAATCAAGTTAGTGAGGTGTTTACATAGTCCAGAAATTCTTCCTCACGAAATGGATATTAATTTAACTTTTTTTACATTTATTTGGGTGTATGTGCACACGTTTGTGTGCACTCACGCTGCCATGCTTGTGGAGGTCAGAGGACAACTTTCAGGAGTCCAGTTCTCTCCTTCCATCATGTAGATCCTAGGGATCAGACTCAGGTCATCAGGCTTAGCAGGAAGTGCCTTTACTCCCTAAGCCATCTCATGTACCACATGGGTATTAATTTTAAAGGGATGGAAGAGCTAAGACTCAGTGGAGATATTTGGCTGACTCAGCTTCATCAAGTGAGAAGCAGGACACATTGAAATCTTGTGCCATTTGAAAGGAGACGAGGCAAAACACTGGAAGGACACGGAGTTAGAGACATCTCACGGAGTAGCTGTGATCTTATCTTCAGGAAGATGCCAAGGGAAGGCTGAGAAACTGTTCCAGGAAGAAGGGGACTAACAGCACTGCATACAATCCTCCCTTCTGCACTGGCTTCCTTGGCTCTAAAGTGTGTTACTCAGACAACGGTGAGACTTGAAAGGGGCCTGAGGATTAGACCTAGAAATATCATTATCAATTTCTTCCTGTTGCAGGTGGTATTGTGGTTACCCAGGAGAATGTTTTGTTTTGATCCACTGCTGGTGACTGAATACAAGGCCTTGGGAATACTAGGCAGGTGCTCTACCACTGAACTGCATCCCTAGCTCAGGGGGATGTTCTTGATTTTAGGACATTCACACTAAAGTAGTCAAGCTGATGTGGAATTCAGTCACCATATCACTTTCACTTGATTCATGAAAAGAAGTTACTAGTGCTATATTTATAAGTTTTCTGTGAGTTTGAGATTTCACACACACACACACACACACACACACACACACACACACACAGGCATAATAGCATGACCTGCAGCTCAGAGGCTGAGCTAGAAGATTGCTTGAATTCAGAAATTCAAGGGAAATATAGAAACAGTCCATATTGGGCCAGTGAGATGGCTGAGCAGGTAAAGGCACTTGCTTCCAAGCTCGACAACCTGAGTTTGATCCCCAGGATCTACATGGTGGGAGGAGAGAACCTACTCCTTCAAGTTGTCCTCTGACCGCCATATGCATGCAATGCCATGTTCATCCTCCAACATGCACACAAAATAATACAAATGTAATAAAAATCCCATATCCTAAATTTAAAAAAATATTTTAAAGAGGGAGTGTGGGCAGGCAGGCTGTAGTATTACAGTGGTTCCAAGAAGTGGCTTCACTGAGAAGGTGGCATTGAGAAAAGACTTAAGAGAAGCAAGCCATGCATGGTGGTGCACACCTTCAGTCCTAGCACTCAGGAGGCAGAGGCAGGTAGATCTCTGTGAGTTTGAGGCCAGCCTGGTTTACATAGTGAGTTCCAGGCCATCTGGGGCTACAGGGAAACCCTGTCTCAAAAAGACAAAAAAAAAGAGAGAGAGAGAGAGAGAAGCAAGGAGGGTTGGAGGTGTAGTTCAGTGGTAGAGTGCCTGTCTGGCATGTGGGAGGCTCTGGGTTAAAATCCCCATATTGAATAAAGAAGAGTGGGGCAAGAAAGACAGATGTAATAGTTCACGCTTGTAATTTCAGGACTCAGAAGACTGGGGCAGGAGGGTTACTTTGAGTTTGAGGCCAGCCTAGACTAGATAGTCCCAGGCCAGGCTAGGCTATAGAGTGAAATCCTGCTTTTTAGAAAAGGAGAGTCAAGCAGTAGAATCTCCAGGAAAGAGCATTTGGAAAAAGGGAACAGGAGTCTATGGCAGGGCTTGCCCGACATGGATCAAGGCACAGGGCCGTGTGAGCTGTTTTTAAGGATTTGGGCTCTTACTCATCAAGAAAGGCAGCTGTTGTGGGGGTTTAGGCAGAGAAGTGACATGAACTGGCTGCGTTTTAAAGGAATTTCTCTAGTTCCTATGTAGAGAACAGATTAAGTACAAGACAACTGGCCTGGATGCTTCAAAAATGGCAAAACCTTGAATGACAAAAAGGTTGGGGGTTGGTTCTACATTAGAGATTAAAGAGCTGGCGTGGGTGTATGCTTGTAATCCTATAATCCTAGCACTTGGGTGTCTAAGGCAGAAGGATTGCTACAACCTTAAGGCTAGCCTGGGCTACATAGCGAGTTCCAGGTCAGCCTGGGTTATATTGTGAGATGCTGCCATATGATCCAACAGAGGAGACTAAAGAGATGTTACAACTAAATGCAATATGTGACCCTTCTTGTACTGTTTCATGGACAACTGAATTTATTTTTACTAAGGATTGTACCTTCAGTATTATTATATAAATCTTAAATCTTGGGTGATGTATTGCAGTTACATATGAGAATGTCTTTGTTCTTAGGAGACACGGGTGGAAACAGAGGTGAAGTATCATGAAATCTTATTTTGAAAGGGGGCTGAGAGATGGCTCAGTGGTTAAGAGCACTCAGGGTTTAGTTCCTAGCACCCATATAGTGGCTAACAACCATCCATAACTCTAGTTCCAGGGGACTGACACTGTCTTCTGGCCTCCACAGGCATTGCACACACAGATGCACTTACATGCACACAGGCAAAAACCTATATACATAAAATAAAAATAAATTAAAAAGCAAAGCCTGCTGGGCATGGTGGCACACACCTTTAATCCCAGGACTTGGGCAGCAGAGGCCAACGTCAGCCTGGTCTACGTAGGGAGTTCCAGGTCAACTGAAGTTACAGGGAGACCCTGCCTCAAAAAGACAAACAAACAAACAAACAAGAAAACCTCCCCCAGCAAAGCCTAAAGAAGTCTGACCCCTGACCATATCTTGCCCATAGGCCCCATCTGCCCTCAGAGTACCTGAGCCTCTGCCCTTTATTAGTGTCAGACCCACAACTCTTCCCACTCTGGGCCTCTGCTTCTGCTCTTTCCATAAGAAGTATCCCCACCTCTCTCCCTCTGTATCTCTGTGTACATTTTTTTTTTTTGGTCTTTTTGAGACAGGTCTCCCTGTAGCCCCAGGTGTCCTGGAACTTACTATGTAGACCAGGCTGGCCTTGAACTCACAGAGATCCCCCTGCCTCTGCCTCCTGAGTGCTGGGATTAAAGGCGAGCGCAACCACACCCGGCCATGTGTACGTTTTTTTATGTGCAAGCATGAGCGTGTGTGTGTTGTATGTGTATGTCTGTGTGTAGATGTTCTTGCCTGTATGAGTGTTAGAAGGCATCTTACACTATAATTCTTCATCTCCTTTTTTTCATCCTTTTTTTTTTTTTTTTTTTTTTTTTTTTTTTTTGACTAAGGGTTGCTCGCTGATCCTGGAGTTGGATTGGTGTGTATGAGGTATGTATGTGTGTGTTTGAGATAGGGTCTCACTGTGTAGCTCTTGCTGGCCTGGAACTTGCTGTGTAGACCAGACTGGCCTCAAACTTAAGAGTTCTACCCACCTCTGGCTCCTGACTGCCGCATACACTCATGTCTGGCCATTTTTTTCTTCAAAAATGACTAATGTTAGCTGGTTGTGGTGGCCCATGCCTTGAATCCCAGCACTGAGGAGGCAGAGGCAGGCAGATCTCTGTGAGTTTAAGGCCACCCTGGTCTACATAGTGAGTTCCAGGCTAGGTGGGGCTACAGGGAGACTCTGTCTCAAAAAGCAGCCCCCCCCCAAAAAAAAAAGTGTTACAGGGCTCAGGAAATGGTTCAGTGGGTAAAGTGTTTGGTTTGCAAGCATGAGGAACTAAATCCAATGCCCAGAACCCATGTAAATGGACCTTGTGGCTTATCTGTAATCCCAGCACTCAAGAGGTAGAGACGGGATTCCCAAACACACTGACTTAGCTAGACTAGGCCAATTGGTGAGCTCCTGGTTCCCTACGGGACCCTGCCTCAACATAGAGTGGGGAGTGATCAAAGTAGACACCTGATGTCAACCTCTGGCTTCCCATATGCATGTGCACCCATACATGCGCCCTCCACAGGCATACACACAAAGTACAGCACACACACACACACACACACACACACACACACACACACACACACACAAGCTAAAACACAAATAATAAAACTGTTTCTCCTCATTAACTCAGGGTAGCCAGTGTGTACATATAGTTGTAAAAATGCTGCCCAAGGTGGCATCCCCTTTTTGGTCCACACTGCTGTGCACATGGCTGGATATGCTGTTTATGGTTACGAGGCAGTACCATTTCACAAATCTCCCAACCACCAAGACCCTAGAATGGACCGCGCGCTCTGCAAACGTCTTTTCAGTCACCGGTCAGAGTAAAACTTCATTTCCCGAAAGACCCCGCGGTTTCAGCCTGTCTCCCTCCTCTTCCGGTTGTGCGGCAGGTCCCGCCTCTACCTTGCGCGCTGGCCAATCGTAGTAGCTCCACCGCTCTCCCCGGCCCTAACCGGAGCCACCGCGATCCCCGGGGGCGGGCTCTGTGACCCTGTTTGGTTCCTGGAGTCGGAGCAACAGATTCGTTGCGTGCCGCGTCCAGAGCTAATTCCGTCCGGAGTCAGGATTTGTGGGAGAGGTTCTCCACAGATCGAGAAAGGCGATAGGAAAGGCCGCGTTAGTCTGCCGCCGGGGTTCCTGCGCAGTCCCAGTGCGGCCTTCTGCAGGAAATGAATCTGCTGCCGACGCCCGAGAGTCCAGTGACTCGGCAGGAGAAGATGGCGACCGTGTGGGATGAAGCTGAGGTGGGAGCCGGGAGTCCTGGGGACTGGGGGACGGGGAGGGGGGCGGGTCCCCGAGCTCGGGCCAAAGGGCAAGACACTCTTGGCCGGAGGGGAAGAGATGGCTGGGAGTCAAGATCCGCCCCGAACCCGGGGACAGGGCCGCTTGGGATGTGGGCAGAGGTCTCTGCTTCTTCGTCCTGCATTTAAGGGTAGGGAAACTGAGGCAACGAGTGGGGCAGTGGGAACGCGGGGTGCCAGCCTGAGTAACAGTAAATAAGTAACCTTTTTCTTTAAACAGCAAGATGGCATTGGGGAGGAGGTGCTCAAGATGTCCACAGAAGAGATCATCCAGCGTACACGGCTGCTGGACAGCGAGATCAAGGTGGGCGCGTGTCTCAGGTGCAGGCGGTGGGACCCCAGCTGGACAGACCCGGCCCACCCTGATGGTCTACTTCCTTTCCACCTCAGTGCAGGAGGCCTGGGGCTTGGGACTTCCTCCTGGGACCAGAAGAAGAAAAAAGAAAACAAAACCTTAAAAAGGGAGAATGGACAGAAAGATTGGGGCCTAACCTGAGATGAGTTATCAAATCCCCTTTCCCAAGGAAGTCTTTAAGTATGCACAGTAATGTTTTTACAGGCCAGCCTGGGCTACACAATGAGACTATCTGGAAGCAAAAGGCAACAGACTCGTTTTAGTAAATCTCCATTTTACAAATGAGGAAACTAGGCTCAGAGAGGAATCTTCCCCCACCCCGTGAAAAAGTTATGTCACTGCTACTTTGCCTGGAAGTTTTCAAACCAGACTCTTGATTTGTGCTGCATATAGACACAGGCAGCCTGCGCTTCCAGAAAGCCTTAGACATGGTTGGATAGATGTAGGAGGGTCCCCTGGGCAGCCTAGGCCTCGTCAGTTACAGGGCCCTAATGTAAGATGAGCCAGGGTTGAACATTTGGTTTCTGTCATCCCAGATCATGAAAAGTGAAGTGTTGCGGGTCACTCATGAACTCCAAGCCATGAAAGACAAAATCAAAGAGAACAGTGAGAAAATCAAAGTGAACAAAACCCTGCCTTACCTTGTTTCCAACGTCATCGAGGTGTGTGTGTATGTGGAGGGGAAGATGAGTCAGTGGGGCTCGGAGACAGTCTAGGATGGGCTCATAGGGTTAGAGTGGGTATAAGTTTTTAAGCCAAACTGTGTTAGAGCTATAGCTCCAGAGGCCCCTTCCTAGATCTAGGCCTGCAGAGGCCTTGGAAGTCTCACATGCCTCCTTTTTTCTTCCTGGGGCAGATGTGTATAGAAACAGCATTTAAACAATTTTTATCAATCCTCTGGCGTATCAACTGTACCTTTACTAGGCTTAAGCCTAGTTTGAGGGGTGAAGTAGGGCCCAGTGGCCTTGTGAGTGGGAAAATTGTTTTGGCCCAGGCAGCCCTGAGCTCTGGGAATTGCAAGAGGCTGAATGTTTTTCCTTCTTAGCTGCTGGACGTTGATCCCAATGACCAGGAAGAGGACGGTGCCAATATCGACCTGGACTCCCAGAGGAAGGGCAAGTGTGCAGTGATCAAAACTTCCACACGACAGGTAAGGCTGGCTTGATTATAGAATGGGTAAATGTGGGGTAGCCCTAGGAGTTTCAGTGAGGACAGTGGCTGAGACTGCAATTTTTCCCACAGACATACTTCCTGCCTGTGATTGGCTTGGTGGATGCAGAAAAGCTGAAGCCAGGAGACCTGGTGGTGAGTGGTGTCTGAGTGCAGGCAGGCCTGATTCCATTGAATCAGAGCTTCTCATACTGACCCAGGGCATTGTTGCTTTTAAACTTGGCATAGCAAGCAGCCCAAGAGTCAGGGGTCTGTCTGCTTGCTCTTTGATTCTTGCCATTTCCCAGTCCTGTAGTTTTCCTTTCACTATAGATAACTGTCCCCAAGCCCATTGGGCAGAGCTGGGACAAATCTGAAGGCTTCATGCTCTGTCCTCAGGGTGTGAACAAAGACTCCTATCTGATCCTGGAGACCCTGCCTACAGAGTACGACTCACGGGTGAAGGCCATGGAGGTGGATGAGCGGCCCACAGAGCAATACAGTGACATCGGAGGCCTGGACAAGCAGATCCAGGAGGTGAGGGAGGCTTGGCAGCTGCCAGCAGCCTTACCAGCCTTTCATGTTTTTCTTCCTCACTGACTAGAATGTATCCCCTTACTGCACCTCTTATCCTTGTAGCATAGCGGCCCAAGGGTCCCAGAGAGATTGGAGGGCATGCCCAAGGCCACAGGAGGTTAGGGCCAGAACTCCACTCAGGCTCCTGTTCTTAGCCCAATGTCTATCTGCCTGTCTGTATTGTGTCTGAGTGCATGTACATGGGTATACTTGGAAGCCAGAGGAAGATGTCAGGTATCCGCTATCACTTTCTGCCTCTGCCTCTTACTGAATCTGGAGCTAAGATTGATGGCCAGCAAGCCCCAGTGATCCTTCTATCTATGCCTCCCCTCCCCGATCCCCCCAAAGCACTGGGGTTATAGGCTTGTGGCCTTGCCAGTCTTTTTACATGGGTGCTAGGGATTTGAACTCAGGTCTTCATGTTTGCACAGCAAGCTCTCTTACTCACTGAACCACACACCCAGCCCAGTGTCTTTTCTACCACATCTTCCTGTCCTTAGGAGGTTGGTTCTTTCTTGTCTTTTTATTGTTGGGGAAGGAGAGGAAAGTGTCCCTGGATTGGAGTTGGAGGGGTGCAGATTAGGTTTGGAAGTCACTGAGGGTTGGGCTGTAGGAGCCCTCAGGGCATCACTTTCCTCACCCAGGACTTCTTCCTGGCAGCTGGTGGAGGCCATTGTCCTGCCTATGAACCACAAAGAGAAGTTTGAAAACTTGGGTATCCAACCCCCGAAAGGGGTGCTGATGTATGGACCACCTGGTACAGGAAAGACACTGCTGGCCCGAGCCTGTGCTGCTCAGACTAAGGTGTGTATGGGGGTGTGGGAAGGAGGTGAGTGGGGCTGAGGCTGTATGCAATGACCTGGGGGATCCTTGGAGCCTCTTGTGCCTTTGTTCTGATTTATGCCCTTGTTCTCAGGCCACCTTCTTGAAGTTGGCCGGCCCCCAGCTGGTACAGATGTTCATTGGAGATGGTGCCAAGCTGGTCCGTGATGCCTTTGCCCTGGCCAAGGAGAAGGCGCCATCAATCATCTTCATTGATGAGTTGGACGCCATTGGCACCAAGCGGTAAGGGAGTGCTGGGGTCTCTCTCCCCCACCTCTTTCTTTCTGTGGAGAGGCTCAACTCCTATCTGTGTTAAGTTCTAGCCCTTTCCCACCTTGTTCTGCTTCCAAATTTCTCAAAGCTGTCACATTCCTCTCAGAACAAATCTGGTTGCCTCACATGTACCCAAAGTCCCTACATGCAGAGATCCTATTTAAAACCCCTTCTAGGTCACCCAGTTGCTCCTTGGCATAAGTGCTAGACTTATGTGGCCTACAAGGCCCCACTTGGAGTTGCTAGTCTTTCAGCCTTACTCTGTTCTCCCCTACCTCAGCACCCCATGGATCCACTTGGTTTTCAGCACAGCTGGCTCTCCTGTTCTCTCCATGGTTTCCCAGCCATTGTTTTCAGGGACCCTTCTTTGGGCTTCCTGATCTCTGAGCCTAGGTATTTCTGAGCTTTAGCTCTGTGGGATCATTCCTTGGTCAGAGCCAAAGACTAGGTCCTGGCTGTTCCTGCTCACTGTTTATCCTTAATCCAGCACCTGAGTTCAGAAGTTTCTCTGGGTTCTGACTGCTGTGGTTACCTGTTAGTGATACCTTTCTCTGTGCCAGTCCCTGGGCTGGGAGCCCCAAGTCGAGGCAGCCATTTCCCTAGACAAGTTGGGATAGCTTGCAGGTGGTGGTGGGGTTCTGCCTAAGCTGTGGTCTCACTGGTATCTTGGCTTTCTGTGCACTCCAGCTTTGACAGTGAGAAGGCCGGGGACCGGGAGGTGCAGAGGACCATGTTGGAGCTTCTGAACCAGCTGGATGGCTTCCAGCCCAACACCCAAGTAAAGGTGAGTGAAGGAAGTGCCACTCAGCAGTTAGGGGGCCGTCCCAGGTCACCTGCTAGTGAGTGCTACAGCTGGAATTTTCTGCTGTCTTCCGCATGCCCTGGGCTGCCTCCTGCTTGTTATGACCATGACTGTGCCTGTAGGTGGATGCCCTGCTCCTCAGTTTGTGCAGTCATTTCTCTGTTTCCATAGGTGATTGCAGCCACTAACAGGGTGGACATCCTGGATCCTGCCCTGCTCCGCTCAGGCCGCCTGGACCGTAAGATTGAGTTCCCAATGCCCAATGAAGAGGCCCGGGCCAGAATCATGCAGATCCACTCCCGGAAGATGAATGTCAGGTGAGCAGAGACCCAAGTGAGCAACAGCAGTGGGTCAGACTCTCAGTTCTCACCTCTTCTGTTCTGAGCTTCCTCAGTGTCTCTTGAGCGCTCCTCCCATTCCCATGCATGCACACACTGCTGTTTGTTACTGCCTGAGGCTCAGACCCAATTCTAGGTGCTTTAGTGATCAATTCACCTGCACCTCATTCATCCTCCCCACATCTGAAGGCACACAGACCTCTACAGCCCAGCAGGTGGGCACAGCGTAAGCATGACCTAGGGGAATCTAGCCAGGGCTCAGTGCCTGAGCTCAAAACTGTAGTCTTCAGCAGATCGCCAAACCCCTCTAAACATGTTATTTGAGACCTGGGGATAATTGTCCTGCTCTTTGGGATGTGAGAAAGGACATCATAGTACAGACACAGTGTTTAGCACAGGACAGATGTGGCTGCAGCATTGTGCTGGCTGATTCAGGGCTCTGTGGGGTTGTGATGCCATCTTTCATCTTCATAATGTCCTGCCCTGCCACCTTAGGCTGAGTTGGTCCCTAGAGTCCCAGATGCAGAGTTCTACAAGGCTAGACTCTAAGAGATCCTAGAAATAAGTTGCTCTACCATACTTTATTCTAAGAAGAGTCAGTGTGGGTAAAGGACTTGCTTACCATCACAGAATGATTTGACTTCACTGCTTGATGAGACATAGTAAGACATCTTCCCATTTCTGTCCCCTCCCAATAAGTAACTGAGCCTTGTGATATCTGTCCTTTCTCTAGTCCTGATGTGAACTATGAGGAGCTGGCCCGTTGCACTGATGACTTCAATGGGGCCCAGTGCAAGGCTGTGTGTGTGGAGGCGGTAAGTGGAAAGGAAGGATGGGTGGGTAGGTTGCTTTAAGCCTTGCCCCTTCTCTGGATAGGTCAGGGGTCCAGGCCTTTGGGATCTGGGCCCAGGGTACAGGGAGGCACCCTAGACTGTATCCATCTTGGCTGCAGGGTATGATCGCACTGCGCAGGGGTGCCACGGAGCTCACCCATGAGGACTATATGGAGGGCATCCTGGAGGTGCAGGCCAAGAAGAAAGCCAACCTGCAGTACTACGCCTAGGGCCACCTCTGGGTCTATTCCCTGCCCTGCTGGTTCAAGTTAGTAATAAAAGGTGGTTTGTGTTTCCTGCCTGCTGTCTGTCTTACCTTCCCTGGGCTCTGAGAAGAGTGGGATGTAGAGAGGAGGCTCGTTCTCCTGGGGCTACAGCTGGGAAATCCATGAGATGGCCATGGCTGCAGTTGTCTGGGTAAGGTCCTGTCGGGAGGTTCAGGGTATACCTGTTGCCTGGAATCTTCTCCACTCCTGCCCCAAATCTCCCTAAAGCCTCTCTTCCACATTCACTACTGTGCTGGATAGCTTTAGTGTCAACTTGACACACCTGGGTTGAAGGAGCCTCAGTTGGGGAATTGCTTTCATTGGACTGGCCTATGGCCATGTCCATGGGGCACCTTCTTGATTGTTGAGTGATGTGGGAGGGCCCAGCCCACTATGGGTGGTGCCACCCCTGGGCAGGTGGGCCTGTGTTGCACAAGAAAGCAGGCTGAGTAGGGGCCAGGGGAGCAAGCCAGTAAGCAGCGTTCCTCCATGGTCTGTGCTCCAGCTCCTGCCTCCAGGTTCCTGCCCTGAGTTCCTACCTTGGGCTCCCAGATGAACTGTGACCCGGGATATGTAAGCTAAATAAACCCTTTCCTCTCCAAGTTGGTAGTGGTCAGAGTATTTTGTCATAGCAATGAAGAAACAAACTAGGACAACTACTTCTATTCTTGGGCCTTTTTAGGGGCTTGTGGCCTTGAAGTTCCAGAATGAAGAGCCTAAACAGAAGCTAGAATTTCCCATTTTGCATTTTGGTGCTCTAGCCTAGTCCTTGTTGCTTTGTTAAGCCAAGGCTTTAGGGCTCTTGAAACAAATCCTGAGTTTCCAGGTTTATGGACCCCATTTTCTCCATAGGTCTCATCAGCCCATCATCCTGTTTCTTTTGGCTGACAAATGAGCCTTGAGCAAGATCCATTCTGAAAGCTCCTCAGGCCTAACCTGTATCCTCACCAGCCCTGGAATCAGCTGTCTGCCCCGCTCCCAATGGAGCTCCTCAGCCTTCAGTGCTATGGAGTCTTGCTGGTCCTAGTCTATCTGTGGGTGACTTGCAGCTCTCCACTTCACATTTGACTAGTGTGGGGTATTCCTTGAGTGCTCACTGGGCTGCATACTGTACAGGCCTTTTTCTTGAGACAAGGTGTCATGTAGTCCAGTCTGGCCTTGAACTCAATATGTACCTAAAGTTCACTTTCAATTTCTGATCCTCTGTCTGCATCTCTCAAGTGTTGAGATACAGGCTTGTTCTGCCACTTCTGGTTTTATGTGGTGCTGATGGAACCCAAGACTTAGTGCATGCTAGGCAAGCACGCAACCAAGATATGTCCCTAGCCCTTGTACAGCTCTTAATGCATACATTTTACCTAGTTATCAGAATAGCCACTGTAGTGTCCCCATTGTTAACTTATTGTGTGTGTATGTGTGTGTGGTGCGCCACAGCACAAGTTGCAGTGCATATGTGGTCAGAGGAAAACTTTGTGGAGGAAAACTTTCTCTCCCTCCACCTTAAATAGGTCCTGGGGATTGAACTCAGATCTCCAAACTTGCACAGCAAGTGCCTTTATCCACTTGGCCATCTCACTGGCCCCAGATGTACTCCATTTATAGATGTAGTCAAGCAACCAGGTCAAGCCTATGAGGTGGCATAGTAGTCAGACCCGTCAGTCAACTTTGAGCTGTTTGGACTTTGGTGGCCCTGAATGGCCTTTCAAGGGCAATAACCCTCAAAATTTAAGCTTTCTTGTCCAAAAGGGGCAAAAGCCCCTAGTCACTTCCCTTTCCTTTTTCTGCTGTTCAAGTGGACATCACTACAGCAAGCTGCTGTGGTACCTCCACAGCCTTGTCTTCCTGGCTCTGACTTCCCTCTAGTTTGACCTCCCTGAAGTAGCCTGGCTCTGGGCCTTGGATCCTGCCTGGTGAGCTCACTGATTCTCCAACTCCTGCTCCAGAAGCCTGGCAGCACAGCCATTGAAGTGTTGGCTCTGTATCCTGGTGTGGACTTGGTGCCCCTACTCCCTTATAACCAGATGGAATTTGTTCTTGACCACACCCAAGTGAATCCACAGGCACCATACTCACCTTTTCATTATAAAACAGGGTCCTCCTCCCCACCTCCATCAATGCCGAGTGCAGTGGTTGGTTTTAACTTTGGCACGTGCCTGTCAGCCTCCCAGCAGGGCTCCACACCTGGCAGCCCTGAGCATCTGCCTAGTTGAAGACAACTGTGGGCTCTTTCAGTCCTGGACTACTGAGGCCCTTGGGACAGTTATCTTATTGGGTATGCCAAAACTAGGTGGAACAGATATGCCCCTCCTGGATGTTTGGCTGCTAGAAAACTAACAGCTGAGCATTCCAGTTAAGGGGGAAGCTGATTTTTTTCCCCACCAACTGTACTAGACTCAGTGACACTGCATAGATGGCTTGTCCCAGCCAGTGGGCTACTGAAGGCCACTTGTTGGTTTCGAGAGTAGAGAGGAAAGCAAGAATGCCTTCTGCAGCTGCTGATGGGACCATGGGGAAGCAGCGCCCCCTGGTGTGTGAGGATAACAGCATTCTGAGGAAGGGGACATGGTAAAAATCCTTTCTCCTTGTTTCTTGTGGGGAGTGGGCTGGCCACAATTACAGGTCTTCCTATGAAGCCCAGGCTGGTCTTGAACTCATCATCCTTTAGCCTGAGTGCTGCTATTAGAGGGCTGGACTACTATAACCAATGCTTTTCTTCCCACCCACCTCCTTTTCTTGTTTTTTAAGACGGTTTCATAGCCCAGGCTGGCCTTTAACTCTTGATCCTCCTGCCTCCACCTAAATGCTGAGATTATAGTAGTTTGCCGCCATACCCAGATTTCTTAAATGAACTATAATCTCATTGAGGTCAAACCTGGAGATTATTTTGTGGTCAGAACTTCCTTGATAAGAATTGCTAAGAGAGGACAGGGAAAAATCATTGGCTTATAGGTTTATGAAAAGATCCTTGAGGGTGATGAAGGGCCAAGGTGGCCTAATGGCAGGCTCATAATGGTGCTCAGCTATTGGGATAAAAGGGTAACACTGAAACAAGGCAGAAAAAAATGTGAAATGTTCAGAGGTATATAGCAAGCACAACCTGGGCAGAGCACGAGCAAAAGCCCTGTTTGGCCACGGACCTTTGTGAGGAGCAGACAGCTGGTCCGGATAATATTTATTCATATCTATAGAACATGTATTTACAGATAAAGATGTACCACAGCAAGACTACTATGGAACCATTCATACTCTTCAGTGGCCACTTCTCAAACACCCACAGTCGAGTGGCAGGGCTAGAGCCTGGCTGTAGAGTGGGCCATCTGAGTCCCTGGGCGTCAGCCAAGGGAAATAGCTGGGGATTATGGCTTCAGCATTCTCCCAGTTCACATTCCTGAGTGCTGACAATGTGGAGCCTTCACCGCCCCCACCTTACTCCCAACCCAAAGGACAAGGGGCCTGAGCAGAGAAGGGTGGCAGGGCATGTCTGCTGGACCCTGTGCTGGCAGGAGCATCCCTGAGTTGGACTGGGAGGCCTCTAGCCTGAGGCTGCCTGCTACTCTGCAGGCTGCTGTTGGGCAGCTAAAGTGGCAAGCACTTCCGGTGCTGCCAGGGAGCATTTGCTGGGTCAACAGGTGCTGGCCAGGCAGGCAGCCCTGAGGAAAAAGTCCTAGAGCAGCTGCCTGCTCAGTGCTCTGTGGGCCAGGGCTACAAAGCACCCACCTCCCTTTTCTTTGGCTATAGAAGTGGTGCAGGAAGGGCTGGGAAAATGGACAGCAGAGAAATGCTGCCCAGCCTCTGCCCCTAGGCTGCTCAGGGCCCAGATCTATGAGCAGAGGTTTAATTACTCCCTCAGGCTATAGGTCCAGGAGGGACAACTTTGGGGTTCTCTGCAGTCCTGGGCTCCTTGCCCGCTCTCCTTGTGGAGTGCCAGGTGAGGCCTGTGCTGGGGCAGGTGCTGTGCAGGGCCCTGGGCCCTACACACAGGGATCACAGTGTCGGTCTCACACACACACCTCTGGTCACACATGCACATCACACACACCGTCCTTGTCTAGTGGGAGGCTGGTTTTCATGACATTCGCCCTCCACCTCTCACACACATAGTCACAGAACAAATCGGAGTCTTATTGCTTGCTATGCAGTGTGGGGTGTCAGCGATGGCTACTCAACGAAGAATGAAAGCAGCACCATCACCATGATGCCAGAGCAGAGCAGCAGCACCTGCTGGAGGGAGTGCCTGTGGGGAGACAACTGGCTCAGAGGGCGGAGGTAGGGTGGGCAGAGGCTGGAGCTCTCCTGGGCCCCCATCAGTGGCCATCCCAGTGGGTCACTCACCATGGGTCTTCTTCTTCCAAGAGGTCAGGCAACACGTTCACCAGGGCAATATAGAGAAAGCCTCCAGAGGTGAAGGGCAGGATCCAGGCCACTGTCTCCTCTGTAGAGGAGGATGCCCAACTGGCTGTGAGTCTAGGGACTGTATATGTCCCACTCCCTCCCTAATGGGAGAACAGTCATGCCCAGGCCAATAACAGCAGCAAGGCAGCTGTACTATTTGGCTGTTATACCTCTGTTGAATGCCACCACCCACCATGCCCGTACCTACTCCTTTGGGGGACTGTGTACAGATGGCAAAACAGGCACCCAGCAGGCCCCCCAGTGCTGTTGAGAACTGAAGCTTAGCTGCAGTCCATCGGTCAAAGCCAGCCCGGAGCAGGATAGCAAAGTCGCCCACCTGAGGGGAGGTGAGATGTTCACCCTGGGCCACAGCTGGACCAGATTACATGGATACCCACTTCCTACCTCAACCCTGCCCCTGGGCCAATACCAAAGAAGCTGTGACTACAGCCCATCTCTGCTGGGAAGGCCCACCACAAAGCCCTAGCTTTGTGTGAGTTCTACACACGTGGAGCATGAGAATCCTGGATCCTTGGCTCTGAGCTCACCCTCTGGGGCACTTACCTCATGGGGGATCTCATGTAGGAGGATGGCCATGGTGGTCAGAAGCCCAATCTGCAGAGACAAGAGCCTGAATCTGTGGGGCCTTTTCTGGGGAACCAGGTTTCCCCCATACCCACTCCCTCTGCAGCTATGTACTACTCTGCCCTGAGCCTGCTCTGAGCTGGACACTGTTGGCTATGGGAAAGACAGCAGCAACTAAAGGAGATAAGGAGCCTCATGGCACTAACAGTCTTGATACTGCAACTTGATGTCATCCACAAATGTGCTGGGCTGCAGTCATAGCTACCTTGGGATGTATGCAGTCTGCAAGCTGTGCATTATTGAGACAGGATTGTGAAACACAAACACCTGTGTGGCTCATGTGGCACCATGCTATGAAGAAGATGGGACTGGGTGCCCTGGAACAGGTAGGGAGAACAGGGGCCTGACTTGAGGAGGAGTACAGCAAATGCCTCTTAGGAGTTGAGGCCAAAGGGATGAGGAATCAGATATTCCAAAGGACATTCCATACAGAATGTCCATACAGAGGGAACAGCAAAGCAGGAAATAATGTGGCCAGTTCAAGTATATAGACCACTAGGGCCAGAGCATAGAGAGCAGGAGGAGGAGGTGAAGGGAGAAACATCTATAAGCAGACAGGGCCGATTTAGGAGCTTGATAGAGGAAGCCTAACAAGGAGTGCAGGAAACCAGAATAGTGACCTGAGACAATGGTGGGGAAGAGGGTTGGAGAGATGGCTTAGTAGTTAAGAGCACTTCCTGCTTTTTCAGAGGACCCAAGTTGAGTTCCCAGCACCCACATCAGTGGGCTCATAATTACCTATAATTCCAGCTCCCTGGGATCTGATGCCCTCTTCTGGCCTCTGTGGGCACTCACACATACCTGGCATGTGTATACACACACGCACACACGCACACACACACAGAAAAAAATTTTTTTGAGACTGTCTCCCTGTAGCTCCAGCTAGCCTGGAACTTGCTATGTAGACCAGGCTGGCCTGGATCTCACAGATCCACCTGTCTCTGCCTCCCAAGTGCTGGGATTAAAGGAGTATGCCACCACACCAGGCAATCAAAATCTTTGAAGAATAATAAAAGGTGCAGGGAGACAATGAAGAAACTATGGCAGCATTTCAGAAATGACGGAGGACAGGGGACTGCAGAAGGGAACTGGTAATAACAGTAAGTAGTACAGGCTCTATATTTTGGAAGTGGATCCAATTAGTCAACAATGGCATTATCATTCCCATCAGAAATGCCAAAGCCCCACCTGCCCAGCCTCTACTTACCTTCTTGCTCACAAGGAAGCTGGCAGCCACAGCCAGCCCATGAGTGAAGTTGTCTATGGTGTTAGCCAGCAGGTTGAGATAGCCACTGACCTGGGTAAGGGAAGAGAAAGCCAGGCTGAGCTGGTCAGGCAGGGCTGAGCTGGCCATTCAGCTTTACAGCTGCAGGAGGGGGGCCCTCCGGGGCCACTCACTTTGAGGTTCCGGACCACGGCTCTCAGGCCGGGCTCTGCAGCCGGCTGGGCCAGACAGTGGCCTCCATTGAGCGCGGCAGCAGTGGGGTCTTTGCTGGGGGCCTAGGGCCAGGAGAAGGAGAGAGAGGTGACATTAGATGCCCCCCACTCAGCCAGGCAGACAGAAGGGGAGAGTGAGATGGACAAGAGACACAGGGGTACCTCTTATCTGGCTAGACTTTGCTGCTCTATCAGCTGAATTCCCCCAAACTCATTAGATACCCAATCCCACAATGCTGTCACTATCTGTCTATCAGATCAAACTACCTCAGAGGCTGATGCAGTCACTCTCCAGATCCTTAAGAAGTTGGCCCACCCTCCACAGTTCCTGGGAAAGAGGCCCAGGAGACCCCTTTTTTCCAGGGCTTAACAACTCAGACCTTGGGCCTCTGCAGGCCCTGGATACGACTCCAGAACACAAGCAGACATATCTATGCTTTGGGTTGGGGCTCACCTGGCTGGGCCCCTCCTTCTCCTTGCTGTTCAGGAACATCTTCTCCAAGGCCAGGAAGGTCAGGAAACCAGCAATGACCCACAGCCCAAGCCGTTGCTGTTGCTGCAGGCTCTGCCCCTCACCACCTGCAGAGGGAACACTAATAGGTCATGCCAAGCCAGTGGCTAGGAGGGGGCCATCTGGAATGGGATTTAGGGCAGGGCTGTGTGGGGGAATACAGCAGGGGTGAAGAGGTATGGGGATTGAGGGTGTTATGTGTGTGTGGCTACAGGCTGGAGAACTGGGAGGAGGGACTGGCTGAACAGGCAAGCTCTGGGACTTCCACAGAGGTCAGGGTGTGGGGCTCAGACAACAACATTTCCCTTTCAGACAAGTTTCCTGCTGGCTCTCCCTATATCTCTCTCCCAGACCCTGCAGAGCAGACAGGGCCTAGGCTAACCTTAAATATGGACACCAGCTCTCCATTCTGACCCTCCTGGCCCTGCTTTGTGCCCTCACTCACCAGCACTGATGCTACACGTGTAGGCCCATGCTTCTGGCAGCAGGTGCAGAAACACATTGCCCAAGAGTCCCCCCAAGGCAAAGCTGAGCAGCTGCTTCAGGCGCCAGGCCCCCGCTGCAAGGCAGAGAGGTGAGGTCAGGGTTGAGCCCCTGGAATTACTGGCTCCCAATTCACCCAGCTCACTGGCTTTCTAGACTGCAAGCCTCCAAAAGCTGGATATGGGCAGCTGTTCTTCAAGGTCTCTCACGCCATAGGCCCAGCAAGGGCTGGGTGCTCAGGAGGAACACACCACAGCCTTAAGATCCACTATAGATTCACTTACTACTGCACACTGGTTAAGAGATGATTTTTGATCCTTGGTAAGTCTCAGCTCCCCAGTTCATCAACCAGCAACCTGCAGATACCTTCTTACTAATTTTTATTTTATGTGTAGAACTGTTTTGCCTGCCCTATATGTAAGTGCACCTATGTTATGCATTGCCCACAGAGGCCAGAAGAAGGCATCGGATCCCCTGGAACTGGTGTTAAGGACAGTTGCTAGCCACTGTGTAGGTGCTAGGAATTGAAGCCAGAGTTCCTCTCCAAGAGTAGTCAGGGCTCTTAACCCCTGAACCATCTCTCTAGCCCCTGCAGATAACTTCTGAGGCCACTCTCCCCAGGTATAAACTGGATCTTGTCAGAATTAAACATATAGAGCAAGTGCTCATTAAATGGGAGTTTATCTCCTTGGTACTGTTACCCTCAGAAAAGTGACAGAGATTTGAGGACTTTTACTAACTTGCACATCTACAATTGGAAGTGTCCTATGACAGCCAAATTCAACTCATTGGTTAGAGAGAGCAACTGAGGTCTAGAGAACAGAGACAGCTG